ACCCCAGAGAGTCATGTGTTTTAATCGGAGTAAGCTCCTTTGTCGATCCCTAGTGTTGTGTTATGCGTTGTGAGAGCAGTTGATCAGTGGAAGATGACCCATGTCTTGCCCCACACCGGAAGGCAACCGAAAGAAGCCCTGGCTCCTGGCTTTGGATCAGCCCATCTCCAGCAATTGTGCCATTTGGGGATTGAACCAGCAGAAGGAAAATCTCTCTCTCTGACTCTCCCTCTCTCTGTCTATAATTCTGCCTCTCAAATAAATAAATAAATCTTTTTTTTGACAGGCAGAGTGGACAGTGAGAGAGAGAGAGACAGAGAGAAAGGTCTTCCTTTTGCCGTTGGTTCACCCTCCAATGGCCGCCGTGGCTGGCGCACCGTGCTGATCCGATGGCAGGAGCCAGGTGCTTCTCCTGGTCTCCCATGGGGTGCAGGGCCCAAGCACTTGGGCCATCCTCCACTGCACTCCCTGGCCACAGCAGAGAGCTGGCCTGGAAGAGGGGCAACAGGGACAGAATCCGGCGCCCCGACCGGGCCTCGAACCCAGTGTGCTGGCGCCGCAAGGTGGAAGATTAGCCTAGTGAGCCGTGGCGCCGGCTACAAATAAATCTTTTTTAAAAAAAGATGTGTGGTTTTCATGGGGAAGGGTTCCTTTGTGACCCATCTCCCCATGTCCTAACCCAAAATGTCGTCCCTCACGAGTGAAACGTGCTTTCTTTCCCCAGCAAGTACATTATCTCGCAGAGCTGCAGGAGAGTCCAGCTGGGACTTCTCTGTCCTCACTGCCATTTCCTGCATCTCTCCCAAGTCGTAGTTTGCCGCTTCTTTTTCTCAGCCAGCTGCATCCAAATCAAGCCTGCTGGGAGCCTGAGCCCTTGCCATCCCCCCCTGCCCTCCATGGCCAGCCAGGGCTTTGCACGCAGGGTCCAGGCTGCAGGCAGCTTTGGAAGCTCTGGGGTCATCACTGCACAGGTGCTTGGGGCAAGGTTCTGTTCTAATCCAAGCATCAGCACTGTACACAAGAAGGATACTGTAGCACACGGCTGCACAGGGCAGCACAGCTCCAGACACAGAACGAGAGAAAGCCCAGGGTTACCAAAACAGCAGGCAGGGGCGTCGGGAAGAAGGTGTGTTACCGTCTGAACAGGATTTTCCTCCACAAACTCATGTACACAACGAACCCCTGAAGTTTCAC